CGAGAGAACAAAAAAAAATGACTGCGACGCAGCCGAACCGACCGAACCGCTAACACCCTTGGGCACCTCGCACGCCCTTCCGCCCGCCCAGGGGTTGAACTGCACATGGTCCTTCACACGATTTAGTCTGCCGATGCCCTCGCTCTCATCTCACTGTGGAGTCTGGGCGCCCGTAATTCTGACGAGGAAGTGGAGGAGGCGGCGGAGGAGGCCGAGGGGAGACGACAACGACATGACCTGACGTCCTCCCTCCCTCCTCATCCCTCCTCCTCTCCCCTCCTCTCCCCCCCAATCCCTCCCTCCTCCATCGTGCAAGCGGGGCCAATTTTAGACTCATGGAGACCGGTCTCTCCGGGATCAAGGGCGGTCGTGAACGAGCCTCTGGCGAGATCCCCGATCCTTCGCGAGCCTCTGTGTGCCAGAGGGGTCCTCCTGTGGTGGGCGCCTCCCCAAATCCAGCTCTGAGTGACCTGCGACTCTTCCCCCTCGGGGCTGTCATTGCCCAAACCTCTTCTAAGATACCTGTCGGGGGATAGAGATAAACTCAGCGCAGTGGGCAGGGGATGGGTGGGAGGGATAGGACGTCAGACATGCCGAGTGCGCCTAGCATGTCCTGATCCATCTGAAGCAGCCCAGGGACACACAAACAAACACACACACACAGAAATAACAGGATTCCCCATATTTTCCATAAATTATCCCGGCAAAGCAACCTAACAGCGATGTGTAGAAGCATATCTGAAAGCATTCCCCTTAAGATTCAGATGAAAATCCAGTTGTAGAATTCTGCTGTGCCGCAGTCGCATTCGCGATGACAGTCGCAGCGGGCAACGCAGTCGCAGTCACAGCCTCAGCCTCAGCCTGCCTCAGCCTCAGCCTCAGCCTGCCTCAGCCTCAGCCTGCCTCAGCCTCAGCCTCAGCCTCAGCTCAGCCTGCTTCAGCCTCAGCCTCAGTCTGCCTTCAGCCTCGGCCTCAGCCTCAGCCTGCCTCAGCCTCAGCCTGCATCAGCCTGAGCCTCAGCCTCAGCCTGCCTCAGCATCAGCCTGCTTCAGCCTCAGCCTCAGCCTGCCTCAGCCTCAGCCTCAGTCCTGCTTCAGCCTCAGCCTCAGTCTGCCTTCAGCCTCGGCCTCAGCCTCAGCCTGCCTCAGCCTCAGCCTGCCTCGGCCGCAGCATCAGCCTGCCTCAGCATTCAAAATGTGGCCCAGGAATGGAGTTCTGGGAACTCGAAGAACACGAAGTGGCCTACAGTTGGCTCCGGGCATTCAAAATCATGCCCAGGAATGGAGTTCTGGGAACTTGAAGAGCACGAAGTGGCCTACAGTTGGCTCCGGGCATCCAAAATGTGGCCCGGGAATGGAGTTCTGGGAAATCGAAGAGCACGAAGTGGCCTACAGTTGGCTCCGGGCATCCAAAATGTGGCCCGGGAATGGAGTTCTGGGAAGTCGAAGAGCACGAAGTGGCCTACAGTTGGCTCCGGGCATCCAAAATGTGGCCCGGGAATGGAGTTCTGGGAGCACCAAGAGCGATTTTGCGAGGATGTCCCAAGCGATTTCGGCTTCGGCGGCAGCCCGTCCGGGTCCCGCCCAGACCCCCCTGAGGAGTCATGATGCTCTCTTTTGAAACCACTAGAAACCTATCAGCAAGAGCTGTTAGGTAAAAATTGACGTCTTCCCCCCCACTTCCCATATTTTCCCATATTTTCTGGGGATCGACGATTAATTGTGTCTGTGTGTTTTTGTCGCTCCTGACCATCTCTTCCCCTGGAGGCCTCAGAAGTGGGGTCCGAGTAGATGGGTTCGGAGGATCGCGCCGCATCGCCGATTCATCGGCGATGCATCGGTAATGCTTCGGCGACGTCGGCGATGCAACGGCAACGTCGGCGTGGAAGAAAATCGGCTCCATATCGAGCTATATCGCTGGTACATCGGCGAGGCGGCGCGATCATCCGACGCCACCTACTCGGGCCCTATCTGGGAGGCCTGGATCCAACGCGTTGAGCCAAACGCCGGCACAGCCGCGCGTGCCCGTGCCCACGCCCTGCAAGAGGCCAAACACCCGCGCAAGGGCCGAGCGCCCACCACGCCACTCCACTTCGCTCCTCGCCCCACGCGCGCCGAAAATCTTCGGCGGCAACTCGTGGCAGCCTCCCGTGCTATCTTGCTGGCTCTTGCGAGACGATGCTGACCGACGCGAGACCGGCGCGACCGACGCTCAACGACGCCACACGGACGCTGAAGCGGCGCAATGCCATCGATCACCAAACGCCGGCGCATGCCGACGCGCTCCAAAGACGGAGTTGCGAGGACATGCAGGACTCCCACCACCGAAGAGGAGGGGAGCCTTCCTGGAAGGCTGCCCCCTGCCCCCTGTCTTCCTCCCAGACTTCCACCGCCGCTTCTGCTGCGACGTGGGCCGACCGGCATTTCACCGCGGGTGAGCTTCTGATGGTCCTGGGGCCCGCAGACGCACCGAGAACGCCTGCAGTGACGCTTCCCCGACGCCACGACGTGCGGGTCAGCCGGCACCGAGGTCGGGAAATCGGATCGAGGCGGAACGTGCGTTTGATCGGGCTGCATCGGCACACCATCTCAATCTCTCAATCGGATCGGAACGGCTGCACCAGCATGGACAACAGCGCCGTGCAAGCGTCGAGCCGAATCGGATCGCCAGACAGCGAAATCGAATCGGATGGAGCCAGACGAAGTCGGTGTCGAATCGGATCGATCGAACGGAAATGGGCCCTGAGGTGTGGGTCTCTCTCTCTCTCTCTCTCGCTCTCTCCCCGCCTCCCCCCCCGCCGGGGTCCTCAGAAAACCTCCTCGTTCACCTCCTCCGGGAAAGCCGCCGCGGTGGCCGCGGGCGGCTTCGGGCGCTCGGCATCTCCGCTCCACCCCCTGTCGCTCCTGCAGAAGAGGAGGGAGGAGGCTCCGCAGCAGATCGACCACCAGTGACTCCGGCGGAAGCTGTGAAGGACAGATGTGAAGGGGCCCAGGGACACACAGAAATAAATAGACGCAAATAACAGGATTCCCCCCCACTTCCCATATGTTCCCATACTTTCCCATATTTTCCTGGGGATCGACGATTCCTTGTGTCTGTGTGTGTTTTTCCCCTCCTGAAGATGGAGAGGCAAAAGGCGGGCGTCCGACCCCATCTTACGGTCAGTGGAGCATTCGCTGCTTCTGGCAGACATGCACGGCGCCTGCGTATTTCATGCATCGGGGCATGTATGGGGGGCGATCTTCGCGCTCTTGCCCTCGCTGCGTCCGCAGTTGTTTTGAGGAGGGGAGCGCGAGTAGAAGGCTAGCGCCCCCCGCTGCCGCACCCTTCCAAACAGGGTGCCGCTCCAGCGCCTACGTTCTATCGAGCGAGGACGTTCAAGCAAGCCGTGCCAACATCAAGGGTGCACTCGAGCACTGCATGTTTATCGAGCGCAAACGTTCCAGCAACCCACGACGAGCGCTCCAGCATTGAATTTTTACAGAGCGCGAGACTTCCACAGGCTTGAACTCGAACACGAAGAAAGGGTGACGTCGACGGCGCCGTCCTCGCCTCCGCCGCCGTCGCCGTCGCAACCGTGGTCTTCCCAGTCGCCGCTCTCGCCAGCGCCATCAAGCGCCGTCGCCGTCACCGCCGCAATCGCCACCGTCGCCGTCGCCACCGTCGCCGTCGCCACCGTCGCCTTCGTCGCCGTTTGTGTCACCTTTGTCGTCGTCGTCGTCGTCGCCGCTACCCTCGGCGCCGTCGTCGACAAGGTCTGGCAGAAAAAAAATCTCGCTGGCAATTCGCCGGTCCCCTTGTGGGACCACCAGGCGGTAGACCGAAATGTGCTGCTCCCTGCACCAGTTGCAGTTTCAAGTCTCCAGTGTTACAGTCCTGCTTTATGCTTTCTACTGTAACTTGTTGTTGAAGTCCGCGCGAGGGGGGCAGCCCCAAACCAGCCGGTTACCACGGGACACGTAACAATACATGAGATTCGCGCCCCCGAAACCATAATCCCCCGTGAATTACACAATGTGCGCGTCACCGAGGCCACAAACACTCGTAAATTACATAATTGTTGCGTCTCCAAGGCAACAAAACCCTCGTAAATCATGCAAGAGTCGCGTCCCCGAAGCCATAAACCTTTTACCTAGTATACCGAACTCGTATTGCCGAAACCAAGAGTAATTACTCCAAGGCGCCCGAAGATGTTTCCAAGACGGCCCAAGAGGGCCCAAAGAGGCCCCAAGAGCGCTCCAAGAGGCCTCCCGAAAGAGCTCCAAGAGGCCAAAATCGAAGATGCTACTTACGAAGGTTTTCGAAGGATTTTGGTCTTCTCACATTTTCGGTTTCCGAAGCTCCACGACGGCTCAAGAAGCAGCCCAAGACGCCTCCAAGAGGGCCCGAGGACGCCCCAAGAGGGCCCCAAGATGGCCCAAGAAGCGCTCAAAACGGCCCCAGAGGGCCCAAACACGGCCCAAGCAGGGACCCACGACCCGAACAGTCGATATTTGTGCCCGCGCAGCAGGCCCCAAAAAGGCCGCCGAGAGGGCTCCAGAGGCCCCAAGAGGCGCCCAAGAGGCGCCCAAGAGGCCTCCAAGAGGCCCAAAAGACACCCCAGGACGCCTCCAAGAGGCCCCCAAGAGGCGCCCGAACCGCTTCCAAGAGGCCCCCGAGAGGCCCCCACACGACACCCCAACACATACACAAGAGGCCTCAGACCCACAACCCAGGTACGGTGGCGGGATGGGCCCAAGGCCACTAGGATCCGCCGCCCCCTGTCGATTCATCGCAGGGGTGCCTGGCGTGCTAAACCCTATCGGTTTTGGTTTTGGCTCTTTTTCCAAAAGAACTCCCCCTGGGGCTTCGGCCCGTCCCGCCGGGGTCCCGGGACGCTTGCCCAGCGGTGGCTGCAAAGCCCCCAAAAAAGCCGTTTCGCTACGGACATCCTCAAAAAATCGCGAAGATGGCCCAAGATGGCCTGCAAGATGGCCAAGATGATCGAAGATGGCCGACATGATGTCTTCCAAGATGGCCAAGATGGCCTAGAGATGGTCCAAGATGGCCTCCAAGACGGCCCAAGAGGCCCTCAAGAGGCCTCCAAGACGGCCCCAAAAGCCTCCAAGAGGTCCTCCAGGAGGGCCCGAAGAGGCCAAAATCATTGAATTTCCAATGGTTTTTGAAGGATTTTGGCATTCGCTTCTTCTCGCCTATCCGACGACCCAAGACGGCCCAAGAGGCCCCCAAGATCGCCCCCACAGCGCCCAAGAGGCCTGCAAGATCGCCTCAGGACTGCCCAAGAGGCTCCCAAGACGGCCCCGAGAGGGCACAAAGACGATCCAAGAGGCCTCCAATACGCCCAAGATGGCCTCTAAGACGGCCCTGGAGCACCCCAAGAGGGCCCCAAGTCGGCCCAGAAAGGCCCCCCCAACGGCTTCCGACGGCGTCAGACGGGCCAGGAGCCCACCAAGATAGCCGAAGTTGGCTCGAAGCTGGCCCAAGACGGCCCAAGAGGCCTCCAAGAGGGCCTCCAGGAAGGCCAGAAAAGGCAAAAAACATTGATGTTCCTTAGGTTGTTCAATGATTTTGAGATTGGCTTCGTTTCGGCCTTCCGACGGCCCGATACGGCCCAAGAGCCCCAAAGATCGCCCAAAGATCGCCCAAGATGCCTCCAAGATGGCCCCAGAACGGCCTGAGAGGCCCCCAAGACGATCCCAAGAGACCCCCAAGACGGCCCAGGAGGCCTTTAAGACGCCCAAGAAGGCCTCCAAGACGGCCCTGGAGCATTCCAAGAGGGCCCCAAGTCGGCCCAGAGAGGCCCCCCGAACTGCTTCCGACAGCGTCAGACGGGCCAGGAGTCCACCAAGACGGCCAAAGATGGCCCTAAGATGGCCCAATACGGCCCAAGAGGCCTCCAAGAGGGCCTCCAGGAAGGCCCGACAAGGCCCAAATCATTGATTTCCCATGAGTTTTTGAAGGATCGTGGCATTTGCGTTTTGTTCGGCCTTCCGACGGCCCGAGTGCCCCCAAAAATCGCCCAAGAGGCCCAAGACGGCCCCAAGAGGCTCCCAAGACGGCCCAAGAGGCCTCCACGACGTTCAAGATGGCCTCCAAGACAGCCCAAGAGCCCTCCAAGACGTCATCCAAGAAGGCCCGAAAGGGTCAAAATGCCCTCCAGACGGCCAAGATGACCTTCCAGATGCCCACGTGTTCCCCGAAGGCTTTCCAAACCGATTCGGGGAACACATGGTCCGATAGCTTGGCAGGTCTGGCCTCAACGTTCGGCCACATAGGCGCTTCTAGAAAGGCAGGGGGCGGCGGTGATTCGCCGTAGGCGTCTTCGATCCGCCGCCCCCTGTCGATTCATCGCAGGGGTGCCTGGCGTGCTAGATTATTACAGTTTGGGTTTTCGTTCAAAAGAACTCCCCCTAGGGCTTCGGCCCGTCCAGCGCTCCAAGACGTCCTCCAGGAAGGCCCGAAAGGGCAAAAATCATTAATTGTCCTCAGGTGTTTGAAAGATTTTGGCAATTTCTGCTTATCAGCTCTCCGACGGCCCAAGACGGCCCAAGAGGCCCCCAACATCGTCCCAAGAGCGCCCAAGAGGCCTCCAAGATGGCCCCATGACAGCCCAAGAGGCCCCCAAGAGGGCCCCGAGAAGAGCCCAAGACGGCCTAAGATGGCCCCGAAGACGCCGAAGATGGCCCCGAAGACGCCGAAGATGGTCTGATGCCTCCAAGACGGCCAAGAAGGCCTCCAAGACAGCGAAGATGGCCCGAAGATGTACCCAATACGGCCCCAGATGGCCTGAAGATGGCCTAGACTGTCCAAAAGGCCCACAAGAGGCCTCCAAGACGGCCCAAGACCCCTCCAAGACGTCCTCCAGGAAGGCCCGAAAGCTCGGAAACCACCTGGTCCGATAGCTCGCCCGACTCCGTGTTCCTCGAAGGCTTTCGAAACCCACTCGGGGAACGCGTGGCCCGATAGCTTGGCCAAGCTCAAACCCAACTTTCGGCCACGCAGGCGCTTCCAAGAAGGCAGGGGGCGGCGGTGATTTGCCGTAGGCGTCTTCGATCCGCCGCCCCCTGTGCTTGCCACAGGGATGCCTGGCGTGCTGGACCCTTTCGGTTTGGGTTTTGGCTATTTTTCAAAACAAAAAAAAAAAACAAAAAAACATCCCCTGGGACTTCGGCCTGTCCCGCCGGCCACCCGGAAAGGACTGCAAGACCCGGTTGCACAGGTTGTTCCTGCTCCAGACGGCTCCAGGATGGCCCAAGCTGGCCTCCAAGATGCCTCCACGATGGCCAAGATGACCTCCAAGACGGCCCAAGAGGGTCCAAGATACTTCCAAGTCCACTCAATAAGCCTCCAAGACGGTCCAAGACTGCCCAAGAGGCCTCCAAGACGGCCCAAGAGGCCTCCGAGAGGTCCTCCAGGAGGGCCCAAAGAGGCCAAACTCATCGATTTCCAGGCGGTTTTTTAAGGAATGTCGTATTTGCTCTTATTCGGCCTTCCGACGACCCAAGACGGCCCAAGAGGCACCCAAGATCGCCCCCAGGGCGCCCAAGAGGCCTCCAAGATGGCCTCAGCACGGCCCAAGAGGCCCCCAAGACGGTCCCCAAGAGGGCCCAAAGACGGCCCAAGAGGTCTCTAAGACGTCCCAGGAAGCCTCCAAGACGACCCTGAAGCACCCCAAGAGGACCCCAAGTCGGCCCAGAGAGGCCCCCAAGACGGCGTCCGACGGCGTCAGACGGGCCAGGAGTCCACCAAGACGGCCCAAGATGGCTCGAAGATGGCCCAAGACGGCCTAAGAGGCCTCCAAGAGGGCCTCCAGGAAGGCCCGAAGAGGCCAAAAGCATTGATGTTCCTTAGGTTTTGAAGGATTTTGGCATTTGCTTCTT